GCAGATTTTGTCGGGTATATTCGACTGAAAGCGCTCGGAAGGGTCGAAATCATCGAATATAATAATTGAATGTGATTCTGATGAGGTTGGGACCGATTGGAGGTGTTATTGTTAGTGGGTCGATCACTATTGTTATGCGGACTCCACCTTTGTTATCCTCTATACTTTCGTTACTGTAGTGAATGAGCATGATTAGTTGATTAACACATGAGTCCTTTTAACGAAGTCAGAGTGGTTAACTGAGACTAGTTTGTTGTTAAATAGATATATAAATATTTGAAGATGACTCGCTGCATTACTTTGCCCAAAATGGGTAAGAGTGTAATGGGCTTATAGTTGTTAATTAAATGTTTATCATTCTTTTTATGAACAGGGCAAACTTGTCCTAATTTGAAAGAATTTGGAAATGTAGAGAAATTATAGTATTCATAGATACTAATTTTTTGTTCTAGCTTTCTTTAAACCTATCAGACATTTTGATATTCGATCAAATAGGATTTTCTATAGCATAGGTGCAATTCTGATGAAATGATGTATTAACAGATTTGATCACGTCCTTTACGCCACCTTAAACGAATATAGTACTCACTATCGCTGTATTCACTATTTGACGATAACTCTTGCGTGACGGAATCATCGTGAGTCATCTAAATGGAGAAAATATTTAGATTTCGCATACGATCAAATTCTCTATGATCTCACTTCATTGTCCGCAGTAATGTGTGTATTTAAAACTTGATGTTTTCTGGGTTGTGAATGTTTCTGCGACTTTTTATTCTTGGTTGTAGAGTGTTTATCTCTCTCAGTAGAGCAAGGAACATGTTTTGGTGCTACATAATCTGGAGGTTCCCAATAATTTAGTGTTTGTTCTTCTGCTTTGATGTTGTCTGTATTAATTTCCACTGTATCCTCATCTTCCACAGGATCATCGCTACTGCTTATACTGTCATTCAGCGATTCAAGTAAATCATATTTATTTAATGTTGGTAGTGGGTCGTTGTTGACAAAAGGATTATTCATTTAATGATGATAAACTCGACAAGACTAATATAATAACTTTCAACAGCTGCGAACATGCATCTTATTTAAGTCAAATGTTTCGACGTATACTGCAATGATGATGAAAAAAAAAATGTCACATTGTTTTTCTTCTGTTTCGAGTTACACATACATTGCCATGTGTAAAATATCGTATTGCGAAAGAAAGAAAAGAAAAAAACGATTGTGATAGATGGCTTTAAAACACCTCACCACAATGGCACACAAAGCAGCGCATTGGAAAAGGAATTATTTCTTCGTGTTCATATCGGGTCGCAATCGCAATAGAAAATTTTTCGTTTGCTTTGTACTCTATTATCTCCCTTGACTGTTAGTGTGTGGCCTGATAATTCATGACTTATACAATCGAAAGCAAATAAAGGCCATCTGTTTTTGAATCTGTCATTCATTGAATGAAAATTAGAATTAAAAGCCGAAGTAATAGTATATTCTGTTTTTGAAGTGATCACATTTTTCGGACAACAAGCCCTTAATGGGAAATGTCCTCGATGGCGCTACCACATACCACTATTTCAAAATGCTCACTAGCACCATCATCGCTTTATCGTGTTTCTCCGAGAGATCTGACCGTTTAAATACGAGTTTTGATTTTTACCGGCCATATTCATGCTTTCTATCCAATGAATTTGAATCACACATTTGAGATTGATTACAGTTTTGCGTTTTGTTGCCTTGAGTTTCTATTAGTCTAGCGTATTACAAAATACTTTTGCATGCTGTCTGGGCACAAAACATGGAAATGGAAAATATGGAGTAGCAGTTCATAGACTGACTAATCAGCACATGAGCAACATATTAATGCACAAAGAAAAGAGAAATGCTATGCAAAGAAAAATAGAACAACAGTAAAATTCGGAACGACCAAAATAAAAGGGGTAATAGTAACAAACACTTTCTAAGCTGTGACACAGATGTCGCACGAAACCGATCATTCTTCTGTATTGAAGAACTACAGAGCAACGAAGTTTAGTTAGAGCTAAGGCACAAGAATTGAAACTCAAATCGGACCAAGTCGAAGCAGCAGATAAAAGTTGCGAAATTAACTGTACTACACGATTGTCTCTAAATTTAACTGTAGAAAGCTCTTTTTTTATAACGTCCTAATTTTGTTACGAAAAAACGCGTTTTCTACAGTTCAGTTTAGAGACAATTGTGTGGCAAATATCATTTCCTAACTTTTATCTGCTTTTTTCGGTCTGCCCCATGAGTTTCGGCCCAAGATCGATGAACAATATCGAACTAAACATTACAACGAGTCAGGGATTTCTCCAACTTCATTGTATTATTCAACGACTTCATATATAAAGGAAATCGATTACAAGGTCGATGGATTCTACTTTATTTTTCATGCTGATCGGACGTACTTAGTGTATATCCTATATAGCCATACTTTTTTGTACAAGTGCATATTATATGAGTCATTATTCAGTCCATTCAAATATATCTAATCGTAGAAAGAATGTTACTTTAATCTCCAAAATGGAAAATAATAACCATTCCGGCGTGAAATTAAAAGATGATATCGATCTGAATAGTATTATCAAAAATATTTGTTTGTCTGAAGCCTTTATTGATGTTTTAATTAGATGTATCACCAAAAGTGATGTGTTTACAAAAACTATATCTGAAGCGATATCAGTTTCGTTCGCAAAATATGAATCATGCATAGCTCAACTGGAGAAAACTGTCAAGGATTACAACTCAAATGTAACGATATAGGACAGTATGGACCGCGCTGCAATGTTCGAATTCAAGGTATTAAAGAAGAGAATGATGAGAATACAAATAATATAGTTATCGATGTAGCGCATGTGTTAGGTATCAATATAGACGAACGTGACATATATACGTCACATCGTCTTGGACGTAAAGGTAATTATACGAGACCGATAATAATCCGATTCGTTCGTTTCGATGTACGCAAATGTGTTATAACTAAACGCAGTAAATTGAAAGAAAGTGACCGTTATAAAAACGTATTTATTAACGATGACTTAACTAAACATAGCTACGATGTATTCAAATATGCTCGTGATAAACTTAACAAACTTTCTGTATTGGTTCGCAACGAAAATGTTTATTATTCGTGTAAATCTCAAGATGATCAAGGAGGTATAAAAACAAAAATTCATCATTTAGTGACTCGTGCATCAGTCGATTTGTTATTAGAGCTATTTGACAATCCCATGATACACTATATATTGGTAACTATAATATTTTCTTCTTTAACTCGAATTAGCGTTTCTTATTCTTATACTTTTAACTATATCTATGTATTGTGTGTTAGAACGAGGTACAGGCTGGACGGTGAAGCATGAGTATGGGCTGACTTTCCTACATGAATTCTAAAAACATGACTGTACCTGCTAGTATAAAATTTGCGTCAATGAATATAAGGAAATTGATAATACAAATAGATACTGTAAATGCCTATCTAGCTCTGAACTGTCCAGGGGTTATGTGTCTAACTGAAACATGGCTAGACGGCAGTGTTACTGATAGCGAGAAAAGTATTCCTTTCTACCATATTCCTATGCGCTTGGATAAAAATAGGCAAGGAGGAGGATGTGCTGTATATATACGTAAAGAATTTTATTCTACAAGATTAGTCGAATTCGAAGATGCCCAGTTTGAAATTCTTATATTACATTTAACACTTACAAACAAAATGAGTATGATTATTTTAAATGTGTATCGTCCGCAAACCACTTCTATACAGCGATCAATTAAACAGTTAGATGTCGTCCTTCAGCAAATCAGCAAATCTAAATATAAGAATGACATAATCGTGATGTTAGGAGACTTTAATGCGCATCACCAATTATGGTCTGACAGTGATATATTGTCTACTAAAGCAGGTTTAGAGTTAAATGAATACCTAGAGTCATAGGCGGCGGAGCCTGTAGGCTCGTTAGGCTTGAGCCTTACCTGAATTGGGCACTATTAGGCTCAGCCTTATCTGAATTGAAATTTGTTCGCTGTCGAATTTGACTCTGTTCGATTGAGCGGACTTTATTTTAGTATCGTTAGTAGAGCTTTTTTGCGTCATTATCTTTACGTTATGATAAAAAAAACAAGGAATGCGACGGAAATGAAAGCCATTTATTTTTTTTGTAAGCTTTATTGGATTTCAAGATAACGGTTAACAATTATGCAGCAGTTCTCTGTCAACCGAAAGAGAGACAAGCCCCATTATTATCGGTGATAGAGAAAAGAAAAAAAAACAACAAAAAAGAAAAAACCATAAGATGCATGAATAACATCAGCTTAAATGCCTAGTCGAAGAAATAGACATTGACTCTAAGCTAGAGTCAATGTCTATGTGTCAAGTGGTGCGTGGAATTACAAGGGATGCTTCTAGCACATGTTTGGATTTAGTTATTGCTCCAAATCCTATGTTTATATCTGATTTAAGTATAGAACCTCCTTTGGATCAAAGTAACCATAATTTTATTGAATTTAAATTTAATACTCGCTTGGATCGTAAAAATAAAATTTTGCGTATAGTTTACGAATATGATGTTGTTAATTGGGAGCTAGTAAACGAAGAGAAATTCCAATAGATCTACTTTTAAAAAACTATAATGATATTAGCGAAAGAGTTAAAGCATTTGAAGACATTCTTCTAGAACATATAAATACTTACGTGCCGCATAAAATGATAACCATAGAGCCGCGAGATAAAGTTTGGTTTGACGAAAAGTTGCGCACTTTGTATAAGAAGAAATGTAAATTGCATCGTAAGAGCAAGAATTCGTTATATCATTTAGAATTATACAAGGAAGCAGTAAAGAAGTTTAAAGAAGCGTGTGTCTCCACTAAAGAAAATTATTTTAGAAGAATAAATGAGAAAGTTTCTACTTCTGCGAAGAACTGGTGGAGCTTAGTTAAGAACACTTTGGGTAGAGGACGCATAACTTCTATTCCAGCGTTGAGAAATGCTACTAACCATATTGTAGTTGACACACAAGAGAAAGCTGAAATGCTAAATAGCTATTTCGCAGAAGTTTTTACATGGACAGGTCCCAGTGTTGATCCAAAATTCTATAACCCTGCTACATGCTTTATCGAAAGTACCCGAAAGACTAGTTCATAGGCAATTATATAATCACCTCGGCGGGATCTTGAAAAATTCTTATCTAGAGCGAAGAGGAATTTTTAAGAGTCATGGTGAGTTCGCGATGTCGCGGCGCGACTCTTGTGATCGCGAATTTGAACAGACGTACTCTGCTCAGTCGTGCATAGTCGCGATAAGTTTCTGCAAGAATCGTGCATAGTCGTGCCGGAATTTTTCCTGAATTCTTAAACTCGCGCCGTGATCTTGGCCTAATCTTATTATATCTTTTTTTAAGATTCGCTACACGATTAATGTTCGCAGCGCGATCGCTATAGATTCGCGATCTCGCGGTGGGACTTGAAAAGTTGATAAATTTTCAAAAAACCAAGTGAATATTTCTTAGCGCGGTTGCTATATTATCGCGGCACGATTCGCGATATGCGAGTCGCGCCGAGACAATCACAGATATATAAACAGTAGTAGTCGCGATTTTTATCGCTTAGTTTGTTTGTTCTGTGTTATACCTTATATTACAGGACAGGATACAGGGGAACTGTAAATGTGGTGATCTCGCGCTGACCCTCACGCTGACCGAGAGACTCTTAATTCACTTGTGACCATCGACGAAGAGTTAATTGTCTCTTCTTCGACTCTCACTCGAGGCAATGATATTTCTCTCATCTTGTCTTCAGCAAGACGCGTTTGTCGAGTGAAAGATATGAGAGTTTTCCGACAATTGATTACCTTGATTTAATGTCCGTCTCTAAAGTGACAATCAGATAGTGAAATAGTTTAGGAGATCATTTCCGGCGATAACTAACAAGCCTCCGTGTCCGGCTTCCTGCTTAATAACTTCAAGAGAAGATAGTTTGTTTATGTTCCAGCAAAAAAGCCTCACAGCTTTTTATGGCTTTACGATGGCAGAAATCGAACGATTGGCATCCGGTCGTGATCTTCACGATTTTTTTCGAGGCAAGGCAAAGCGAAGCAAGCAGACTTTTAAAATATTGAACAAATTGAAGCGAAGCGAGACAACAAAATCTTGCCTCGTTTCGGGCTCTGCTACAGAATTGTCTGATTCTGTCAACAATATGATTGCGAACCAACCTGGTGCATTCTTTATCGAAAACAATGATGACTTTAGTGAAGCCAAAAACCTCGATACAGTGGAAATTTTTATACTCTTTTCGTTTGCTCGTGTTTAGTCAAACTACAATAAGTGCTAGTTCAAGTTTAATTAAATCTTTCGGCTCCATATATATTTCAGTAGATCGAATTATTCCGACTGTGGCTTATTCAGTCGTCTCTAATATAGTTTTTTTTGCCATTTTTTCAACTTTTTCTTGAGATTTTTTCGCAGATCTTTCGGCATCGCGAGCATGACTGACTGCCTTTTCACTCGCTTCTCTGACTTCTTTCACTTCTTTGAGCAACTTTTTCCGTTCCTTTTTCATAACTCCGATCTGTTCGTTTGTATTCTTTTGCGTCGTTTTAGCATCGCTTGCAGATTTATCCGCTGCTTTCGCCGCTTCGGATGCTTTCAATGTCAATATTTCGGCTTGTTGTCTCATTCGTTCCATCTCCAAACGGGCATTTGCCTGTAATTTGCTTAGACTTTTATCATAAGCTTGTTTTTGTTCGGCTATCGTTTTTTCGACCTTTTTCACACATTCATCAATGACTTTTTGCATTTCTTGTTTACGCTGTGCGGTTGATTCAACAAGCTTTTGTGAATGTGCCGCTGATTGTTTCGCTGACTGCTCACTTGTCATACTCAATTCTTTCGCTTTTGTTGATGTATTAACGGCGACGATGGATTTTTGCTTCGCTTTTTGGACGATGACATCTTGTTGTTCACATTTTTTATTCAACAATTGTTCCATTTCTTGTGTTCGTTTTTTAATTACTGCTTCCAGCTGCTGTTGAGATTGTTTGACTTGATCAACCAGTTTTCTTGTCGCTGTTCGATACTCGGCTTTTTGTGTTTCACTCAACTCTTCCTGACATTTTTCAAAATCTTTCGTAATTTTTTCGTAGGCTGCATCGATCGATGTTTGAAACCATGCTGCTTTTGCATTAAAATCCTCTCGAAGTACGTTAACTTCTATTGTCACGTCATCGACAATGTCCGAACGAACTTTTTGTACAGAATGTTTCAGCTGATCAGGATCAACAAGTAAATTTTGTTCCCGCATCGAATGTGCGAGTGAAATTGTCGTTTGTTTCATATCGAATACATCGTAAACGAGACTTGTACTTTCACCGCCTTCTCGAAACAAGCCAACATTATCGAGTATGTCTGGAGGATGTGTTCCCGACTGATCGTTTTTTTTTATCAGCTTTCGTATTTCTACAATCAATTGACCAGTGATCTTGTCAGTGAACGGATCCAAGTAAACATAACCATACTGAGTGGGATCATTTTCGGTAGATTCCTCTGATGGCAGCTGATACTGATAGACCGCACCTCCAGCCACGACAATTGGACAACCAAACAAATGTTTTAATAGGATGAATTTTCCGTTTTTCAGTGGAACTTTGTGTTGTCCCATTTCAAACCCAAGTGTTTCTGTTTTCATTTTGACCATTGGATCTTGCTTTGCAACGCAAAGCCATAACTGGTCGGCCAACGGTTGATTCGGAGCAAAGTTTCTAATTCTCTTTGTATTTTCACTTGGTTTTCCGTCGAGTTTGTTGTTTGCCCATGTAAAAAATGTTGCCAATCGATGGTTGCCTTCGACTTTTTTGCTCATGTCAATAGAATCCAACTGTTCTTTGTAGTACAATGTCAAAAGTCCGGCAGAATTTGTTGCAGCTTTTTGCAAATATTCAATATTGCCCAATGTTGAGATATTCCGATATTCCTTTTTCTGCTTTGTTTTGTCGACAACCGATACAATACTTGTAACTGTCTGTTTTAACAGGAACATGATTGGTTCCGGAATGGGTATAAATGCTGATCCATAAAGTATGTCCGTAAACAAGGGCGGTATTCAATATCCTTAGTTGTTTTTTTGACAGCGCTAAAGTGTGAATATCCTTAGTTGACAATTCCTAACTGACTCTGGTATCCAATCGATAGCAGTTTGAATTTTCCCCGTTGTTGAACCAAGTTCAGGTGTCATCAATTCCGATTGTGCGGCAAAAACGCCTATGAACAACGATTGTAACCGATGTTCAACTGTATTGTAAAAATGAACTAGATTATGATCATTTTTAATGAGTGCCAAAATTTCTTGCTTCTTTTCAGCTGTTTCTCGTACAGTTTTAAATAGAAGAACTTCATTGGTCAGCAGGTTCATTTGAGCTTTTGTTTCTTGAATTTCTTTCCAAAAATCTCGTTTTTCAATTGCTGTTTTTGCTTGTTTCAGCTTTTGTTCACTTGTTTCGATTGCTTTCATCAACGTAATTCGACTTTGTTCCATTCGTTTCATCTCAGCTTGTAATTTTTCCAACTTTTGTTGTATGTCGTTCATGTCCTTTTCATGGATCTGTGCGACATCACGATCATTCTGGACGGAATTTAATCGTCCGACACGTTCTTCAGAACTGGAATGAAGATTTTTGTACAACAACTGGCCGTAGGTCTTTGGATCCGATGGATCCAATTTTACATCGCTACCAGCAATCAGTCCACTCAAGTAACCCAAAAATCCTTCGAGAATCACTTTCTGCTGTGCACTAACAGTTAGATAATTCCCTGGATTCATTTCAGTTCTTAACGACGCATAGTGAGATCGAAGATGTGCCAGAACTTCTTGTTGATCTTTTCGTTCTGCCGCTTCGATCATTTGCCTACATTGATCAGTTTTGTTGCTAACGAACGATAACGTTGATCAACAAATTCTTTGATTATGGGAACTTGACCATTCTCTGATGCACGCAACAGTTGTTGCAATGTGTATTTTGGTGGTGCTATCGTTGGGTCTTCTTCATCTTCTTTAACTCGATAATCTTTGTTGCCCGGATCGAGAAGCTGAACAATGCGGTTATAACGGCAAGCTTTAGCAATAGCGAGCGCATTTTGGCCAGCTTTGTTTTTCAATTCTCTTGTTGCTGGTCGATTTTCGATAAAATATTTAACAACGGGTGGATCCCCTAAAATAGTGAAGAATATAGAAACAACTTCAACACAAAAGCGCTCTGGAAAGAAACCAAAACAAAAAGGTATTCCTCAAGCTGCAAGCAACACCATTTTTGAACAATCAACCTTGGTGGGCTCGGTGACATAAATGATACAGGACATTGCATAAGACGTTATATATTATATTCTTTTTGTTTTATAACACATAGTTGTGTTAAACTATTTAGTTACCTAATGTAAAACATATGAATTCTATTCTTTTTGTCTATTTCTATAATACAATATGCGATACAGTAATTCATATAATATTGTAGAGTATATATCTTGTAGTTATATACCATACAGTATGGGTGATTCCATGGAAAATCAAACGTTTTTTGCGCCGACCATCTCTGATGGGGACGAAATTCGCAAGGCCTGTTGAGTGACTACAGCCGATCGTTACGGGATAGTTAGGTACGACTCTGAAGGGGACGTTTTCTGATGTATTTCGCCATCTTCTGACACATTTTGTTTCATTCCTATCCATATGCACATTTGTGACCTCATGTACTATGAAAGTACCCAAACTTCCCACGTGTCTCCGATTTTCCAAAATTTCCAGAGTTTCTCGATATTTTCTATAGTTGTGAATTCCCAAAACCGGTTTAGGAATCCCATGGAAATTCCCAATCTCTAGAATTTGGACACGTCTAACCAAAAACTAGTTTTTCAGCACTCAGAGCGAATAAAATTTTGTTCGAACTACCTAAAATGATAAAGCAGACAATTCTGTGTTAAATGAGACATCTCCGATCTCTTCACGACGTTTTTTGGTCAAGCTAAATAAAATTTACAGAAGGTCCAAAACCGCTCTCTACGATTTTTCTCAGAGGAAATGGCAAAAAGCGACTTTTGACCTTCCGTAAGTTTGATGTAGCTCCATCAAAAAATGTCATAAAGAGATCGGAGACGTCTCATTTAGTAGAGAATTGTCGACTCTATCATTTTATGTAATTCGAACAAAATTTTATTCGCGGGTTCCGAGTGCTGAACAACTAGGTTTTGGATTTTCTAGAGACCTTATTTTTGGGAATCTAGCTATGATTGTCATTCTCTTAAAACCTTGTTAGAAATAATTTTCTCTGCTCAAACCACCATTTGGATCCTTTTTTGCGTGTATCATTATGAAAAAAATCGAAATTACACCTTTTTGATCAACTTTGGTACCCGCTCTATATAATGTAGCAATTCAGTGCTTCGAAACCGACATAAAGTTCATTCAGGTCTGATACTCTACTACGCAGTCAGCATGCGATGTCCTACAAAAAAAGACTGTTTTAGAAAAGCCTCAGGTCAGATGTCTGTAAACCGATTTTGCACGGGGACCTCCAAACAGATCTCAGATTCGTGATTGGCCGAGTTAGTGCCGTTCGAAAATGTGTTTTGACACATTGCCTGAATGTGCTGTAGTATACAAAGGCCATTATAAACCGATTTAAACCAGTATTAGATGGCTACGCTCAGGATCTGTTGTAAAAGAAGCTGTTATAACCGACTATGAAGGTAACCGAAAAAATTAACAGCGATAACGGCTCAGGGTAACCGGTGCATGCCTAAGTAACATGCGATGCAAAAGTCTTTGCAAAAATGTCAAAAGCTGTTAGACTATGTTGCCAACTTCTAATTCAACCAATTTTCTTCTTGTTGAAAAGGGCAATGTCTGAACTACAAATTTTGTACCGAACATATTTTTACAGGGTGGAAAGGAGGAAATGCTGAAAACCAAACGCCTCTAAGAAAGTCCTTGCAGCGTTTCTACGGCTTGAAAAGTCTGTATTTCTCCAATATGCCGGCCTACATAGATCAAATTTTAATAAAAACTACACCAAAATGTAGAGTATCAAAAACTCTATCGATATCAGCTTTGCTAAAATATTTTAGATGCGCTCTTGGCTCTGCAATAAAAAAATTTGAAAAATGAAATTTTTGTAAAATAGAGATTTTTGCAAGAACTACCAGTTTGCAAGAATATCAGCCACCATCTCCAGAAACCATGCATGTAATCTATTTTTTCTCGTTATTTGTTCGAAATATGTCAGATCTTAGAAACTCAGCAGAAAAAATAATTCAACAAATATTTTTTATCATTGTAAAACCGCCAGGTAGTGAGAACGACCAAATTTTTCAATCTTTTCACAAAAAGCAATATTTTGGTATAAAAACATAGAATAAATTTAACTTCCAATACACCATTGAAAAGCACATCCTTTATGCTACAAAAATCATTATTGAACGTACTTTTCCCATTCTCTTTCACTATTAAAAAGTTCAATAAAAATAGAAAATGATGTTGGTATATGGTGAAGTTGAAAGAACGTTTTTAGAGGCGTTTGGTTTTCAGGTTTTCCTCGTTCTCAGATTCACACTGAAAAAATATGTTCGGTACAAAATTTGTAGTTCAGACATTTCAACAAGAAAAAGTTTGGTTGAATTAGAAGTCGGCAACATGATCTAACAACGTTTGATATTTTTGCATCGCATGTTATGTCAGATAGGTTGAGCAATTGAGGTGATGTTCGTTAGATCAGATACTGTATGTCAGGTTCGGTTAACCTGATGCGGCTTGTACAAGTTGAAGATAAGTGACCTGACCTACCAAATCCCTAACAGAAAATGCAAAAACGAAGCTTTCAAGCTTGTTCAACTGGTAGAACTTGCACAACTTACAACAAACTGGCCTAACCTGATCTATGACTAACTTGCTACAAATTTTAATTCAACATCTAGTATTCGAACTTGCGTCAAAGTGCAACTTGGCATCCAAGCTATGTTGGACATTATTGCTACTTCAGGGAAAAATTAAGGAAACTTATTTACCCTTTTCGGCTGCTTCTGTAATTGGATACTGGCCACTGATATCGGCGGTTTTCCAATTTGCTCCACTTTCACACAACCATTTGACAAAATCGACTCCATAATATTGAACGGCGTAGTGCAGCGGTGTTCGATTCTGTTCATCCTGGTGATTAAAATCAACACCCATCGGAGCCAACAGCTGGGCACTTTCAAGATCATTGTTTATGATAGCTGTAAGAAATTGAACGTTCAGTTGATTGAATAAATATGCCGATATTTGCTCGTAATTTTGATTTTTTGACAATTGTAGCAACGGCAATAATTTCGGATTTGAGTGAAGTATCGATGCACCATGTGATACTAGAGTATGGACAATGCGAAAGTAATTTCCATGTTGAATTGCCATTGAAAGAGCTGTTGAACCGTGAC